TGGGATCGATCCGCCCACCCCTAGTATGCAGCACTAGTTAGCGCCGTGTTATGCATGCCCGCAGCACCTCGCGGGAGCGCGCACAGCGGAAAGCTAATACTTTTGTTGATCTGTTCGGCAAAGTTAGGTTTGGAAACTATATAATTTCCTTTTGGGCGGCCATGCATAACACGGCATAATACCGGAGCATCGCTGCGCTGTTCTGAGTTTGTTCTGATCTGTCAACATGACGGACTGCTTTCAGATTTTTCCGTCATTGTTCAAAAAAATTCGTCATAGACGGAAAATATTCGGTTAACGCGACCTCTGGTCTAGACTCAACTATGAGAAGTGTAGTTGTAAAAAGTACTTTCCCCCAAAACACCAGGCTTCAGAAAAGAAACAGACCGTGTAACATTCACAGCCTCATAGCAGATGGTTCGGTATTATGCTACTGTGTACACGGCCTGTTACATGATTGCATGAAGCATGTGCCGAACAAATGGAGCTGCTGTTTTGGCCAGCTTGCCAGAATAAATCTTTGTAAAAGGAATTAATAAATAATCTGGTTTATATGTGTTTGATGTAATCTGTTGCCCCACGCTTCCCACGCAGAAGGATAGGTTGGACAATCACTGGATCCACAGTAACTCTCATGTGGCCTTTTCTCACGGTGTCGATATATCTGTAAGAATGTTTTGAGTTTCACAAAAATGTGAATATCTGTCACTTAGTGGCGTTAACGTTGTTACCTAATTGCCTTAAAGGGACTTAAAGTGACTGTCTGAGCCGTCAAAGGCCATTCAATTAGTCAGAAAAGAACATTGGCAGCTCTTGGTGGCCAATTATCTTTAACTACCGCTATGAATAACTACCAGACGATATACATTAAGCGATTCACAATGTTGGCCTCCAACTGTGTAAATCAGCTATCCTTTTCAACATGAGACATGATTACTCACTCAGATACATCAAAACATTTTCTAGGCCCAATTAACTGTCTTGTGTAATGTTTTAAAAATAACATGGATAAGAGGTATAGAACGGGCACTGTCGGCTACATCTTTTGAAACAGTTTTCAAGCCACCCAATTAAAGGTGCCCTATACTCAATATCAGGTTTTATATTTTAGTCCCTCTACTCTGACATGTCTCTGCTTTAATGTTCAAAAGCTCTTTATTTTTTATCATACGGCCTGTGCCTCTTTTCACCCTCTGTCTGAAACCAGAGCCCAGTCTGCTCTGATTGGTTAGCTGTCCTGTTCTGTTGTGATTGGTCAACCGCTTAGAGATGTCCCGCCCCTTAGCCTATCAGTTATAATGTGTTGGAGCGTTAGCCAAATTAAGTGCAAGTGTTACGTAGTGATGTCACTTAAGGGACATAGTAGTTAAATGGAGGTGTTCCAGGCAGCGGGGAATTTTGGGATTTATGCCTTTGCAGACCATTTACATGCACACAACCCTATACAACACACTTCAGGGAAGCAAAATCTCAAAAAGCATAGTAGTGCCCCTTAAATCGTTCTAATTTGGATATAATGCTCTCGCCTAGCAATTATGAATGTGATAAGAAAACACATATCGGGACCGCTTTTCAAACGCCACTATTATTGTCCGATACTGACTGACGCTCTCCTCCGTCCCCGGTCCACTGTGCTTTTTTGTAATATCAGTTAAAGGTGTTGCATGGCTGTGAGGTATTTATGTTGATCTTTGTTTGTTCCACCTCTGCTGCAAATAAATCTCTGCTGTAGTCCTGAGAGACGCAGCCACCACCCTCCTCAGGCTTCTCTCTATTGTGTGTAGTAATAAGACTCTTGAGAGCACGCACTTACTTATGACTGAACCGGAGAAGGGCGGTGAAAGACTATTGTGCTACACACACTTTGTCTATTAAAAGAAAAACATTCTGTAGAGGCGCTTTGTGAGTGCTGCAATGCCGGGCCCACACATCTATTGCTGTTTGTAAGACGTTTCAGTGCGAGTAGGCGGGTGAGGAACATGGGTTTTCATGTCATCTGCTCCTACTTGTGTATTAAGAAGATCCTGTACAGACTCAATTAACACAGTAGATTTTTTGCAACGAAAAAGGCAAATTACTTTGTTTAATAGACAGGGGGTCTTAAAAAGTATTAAAAGTTGATGAATCAATTTAGCGAAAATTAAAAAGTATTAAACGGCATTTCCCAAGGTATGACATTTTGTAGCTTGTTTTCAATAAGTATATAAATGGTCCAAAGAGGTTGTATTCTACAGTGCACCTGAATGTAATCATTGCGTAGGTGTGTAGTGTGATTCTGTGTAGTTTATTTATGGAATCCCGTTGGATTGGACGTCATCTGAACAGGACATCGCACGCTCACTGCTTGATAGCACGCGAAGGTCCGTTTACGCCGGTTGCTAAGCAACATCGTTATGGGGAAATGCAAGTCTGCGTCCAAATGGTTGGAAGATAAGGAGGAAGGACAATCAATACTGTATATAGTCAATGTGAGGTAAAGTGTGTCGCCAAGGTAACCGGTTAAAACTCAAAGTGGCGATGAGGTCTTAAAATGTACGGAAAGGGTCTTAAAAAAGCTCTTAAAAGGTTTTACATTTGACTTCAGGATTCCTGCATAGACCCTTTATAGAGTTATCGTAATACTTCCATTGTGTAATAACAGCTGGAACTGCCGCGACAGCGACGTAACTTAAAATGACGTCAGCACTGATTGAGGTTTTCTGTCTGTATGTTATCATTTTCTTTTCCATTAACTAGTCTTTAAAAACTGCCAGAGTCCATACCTTGTTCCCTTTAATGTTTACTTCCTGTCTGTCTTCTTCTGCTGTTCCTGTTAGTGTTGACTTCCTGTTTGTCTTCTTCTGCTGATTTCTCTGACGTCCAGCCCTCTTTCTTCTAACTAAAAATTAATTATCCAAAAGTATTCTGTGGTGATTTCTGATGGAGAAAACTGTTGTTTGTTCTCCACAGCTGACGTTAAATTGACCGAACTCCTTTCTGCGGATTGATATGAATGCACATAGTCCCTTGATCCTCCTTAGCAACTTTCTATTCTCCTTAAATAAAAAACATTGCACAGAGTTTTCAAATAAGCCCTGTGATAATATACTACAAAATATAAAATATAGCAATACAATACCCAACACCATTGTCAGCACTTCCTCCAAAAAGCTTTGCATACCTCCAGTCACCAAATTGGCACATATATAAGTGCACAAACACAGATTTTCGTAACTTCTGTCTGCTGTTCACAAAGGCTTAAGAAAAGCCTTTTTTGTTATCATAGCCGCTTTCTTTTCCAAATGTAAGAATACACTGTTTTCCCAGCTGACCCTTAAATCACTTGGAGAACATTAAGAAATCAAAGCAGACGGAAATGTAGAACTTCTCCTCGAAGACATAATCAACAGCTAAATCACCTTGGGCGCAAATCAAATCTGCAATGTCCACTTTCCAATAAAGTATAAAACGCTCCTTTAAGCCCCTGTCACACTGTCCCGAAATTGACACCCGATGGACACACGAATATGGAATTGTGAATTTCGCACGAAGATGGCCCCGAACCACACACGAAGGCAACATTTACATTACATTTAAGACATACAACTGCAACGAAAGTAACAAAAACAATTATGTTACAGTACTATGATACTGTACTGATATCTTCAGACTTTGTTCTTTACTTTATCCGTCGTTATATGTAGAAAATATTACGTTTTCTCCGTAATGTTGTTGTTTCCATAGCAACAACAACTTCCTGTCAACTCGCCTTCAAAATAATATATTATATCCTTTTCAGTTTCACAGAACACAAATTGGGTTATTTACATAATATGTTTACATGATTTTGTTGTGCAATAAAACAACCCGATGGACACACGATAAAGGAAATGTTCAAATTCGGCTGTGATCGTAGCAACATCGGGCCATTCGTGAGGGCATCTTAAGCCTTCGTATGACCGCCGGTGGAGTTTCTCAGGCTCCGGCAGCAACTTCGTGAGCGGTGGCAAAATCTTTGGCATGCCAAAAAATTGCCGAAGGACCTTGAGAAGGTTCATTTTCGTGTTGAATTCGTGTGTCAATTTTGCCCTTCGTAAGGCCATCGTGAGGGCATCTTGTTATCATCGGTGCCATCGGGCATTCGGCCCGATCAGAGTGAGGGTGAATGCACCGATGATAACACGAAGATGACACGACTTGACAAGATGCCCTCACGAGTGCCTTACGAAGTTGCCGCTCACGAAGTTGCTGCCGGAGCCTGAGAAACTCCACCGGCGGTCATACGAAGGCTTAAGATGCCCTCACGAATGGCCCGATGTTGCTACGATCACAGCCGAATTTGAACATTTCCTTTATCGTGTGTCCATCGGGTGTCAATTTCGGGACAGTGTGACAGGGGCTTTATGCTTGTTTATCCGCGCAGAGATTTGTATTGCCTTGATGGTTATAAATCATTGACAACAAATAACAGCTTGTGAGTTCTTTTTTGTTTTGCCTTGGCTGTAGTAAGTTATGGCTTGAAACCATTTTTCTGCTCTGACTGATTTTTCCCCCATCTGGTTTTTCTAATATGATGCATCTGTGCGAAGAGATTGAAGAACCTGTTGCCATTTTAGGTGTATTATACCCTTTGTTGATCACCCCTTACACCCATTGTGTGGAATGGCCTAGAATGTGTGACGGAAATGATTCAGGCATCTGTTTTAATTGTGCCACCATAATGATTAAGCAGCATTTGAATGGGTTCTGGAAAGATGGATGGCCTGCAATGCTATCTATTCAAAGAGAGTCAAGTCCTTGGCACCACTGTGTTTCACTGCTGCTTAGATTAACACAAATATGGGGGGGGGGGTGATTTCCGGGCCCCTCTCACCTTTTAAAAAACAATCAAATGTAGCCTACAAGTCACGTTCCTCGTCTTGTAGCCTGGAACGCATCCATCGCCCGAGTCTACAGCGAACAATGTTTAACTTGCTCATTTACATGTTAATTTTCTCCATTTATTTATCTTTTTTTCTCAGATGGAAACTGAATGGCACAGAAATCAATCCCAAATCTGGATCCCACTACAGCCTTTCTGGAGGAAACCTCAGAATCAGCCATTTGAACAAAGACCAGGATGCTGGAACGTATCAGTGCCTCGCCTCCAACTCTTTCGGGACCATCGTCAGCAGGGAGGCCAGCCTCACCTTTGCATGTAAGTCTGTTTTTCTCTGCTTGTCTTTGGTCCAACGTTTGTGACTTCTGAGAAAGACACACCAATGAAGTGACATGCTGGGCTCTTCTTGATAACGTGACACACATGGAAACATCTCTCTGGGGAAGTATTAACTCCCTCTGTGTGCCGACTAGAGTTTAGCCTAAATCGTAAACGCAGATCAAACACAAATCTACAAACAAGTCCAAGTGAAGTGAAGCTTTATGGTAAATCATAGCAATGCTGTTAGTGCTGCTCTCCACTATTAAAGAACGGGTGGTAGGATAAGTATATTTGACTTAAAGTTGCTTAAATCAGTGTTGTTCATATATCCACTTAAACTGCTGATAATGTGTGTGTGTGTGTGTGTGTGTGTGTGTGTGTGTGTGTGTGTGTGTGTGTGTGTGTGTGTGTGTGTGTGTGTGTGTGTGTGTGTGTGTGTGTGTGTGTGTGTGTGTGTGTGTGTGCTGTGTGAGTGCATGCTGAAGCTAATCTTGCATACTACTGGACCCACCATCCTAATATGTGTTTATGCTCAAGACCTCTTCTGTTTGCAGTGACTAACACATTTTGGAAAAACCAACAATGTAATTGACCATCAGGCCTTACTCCAAATTTTAGCCACAGAGGTTTTCTATAACAAAAGCTATAAAACACCTTTACTCTACCCGTTTAGCAGCAAACATTAGATTAGATTCTTTAATGACCACACAGCCAGGCTAGATTATTACAGCTTGTTCCATACAATTCAACACAGGGCAAATACATACATCATGACATATATACATAAAGTTCAAGGTGTGATGGATTGTGATTGTTCACACACAAAACAAGACTAACTGGTGAACATAGAGCAGCATTCAGCAACTTTAGAGACGGACATTTTCTTCTGGAGTTCTTAGAGACCAAAAACAGAGCTAAAAGCACTTCAGAAATTCGACTCCAAATGAATAATGTCGCTCAATATGTGCAAGTAGGTGAAGAGGTTATCCAGCATTATACAGAAGCAAATAAATATTAATCACAAAACGTAATTGACATTGAAGGTAAAACGTATTATTCAGATAATGCCTTTAAGTGTAATCTTATCTGATTATACACAATACGATACCACTATGTCTGTTCCAAATAGATCTAATATGAACTAATGTTTATATTGGTTGGTTGATTCATTTATAACGTCGCTGTTTTATGTGTAAAATGTCCATCTATAATAATGAGTAGTAGATTAATCTAATCTTTAACTTTCATTTATAAATATGTTGGATTCAAACTTCTGGATTGAAGCGGAGATATCAAGTTACATGAAAAGTAAATGAATGTTTTAATTCCATTTATAAATTAGATACCACATTTGAAACATCCGTTTTATTAATATTATACAATTCAATTCAAAGAACACCAAACTAAGAAAAGCAACATTCCAACACGCCAAGTCAGCATTATCACTTTTGCAGATTCATATTTTTCTGATGACTCGATTTTAGCGATTTGTGACCGTCGCGATGATTGACTGTTGGACAGATGTTGATGAGTCGAACTGTCAGCCTCTGGACTTCATATTCCTAAAGCACAGGGAAGTCAATATATGCCTACTGTATGTGCCAGTTATCGGACAGGCATAAATGATGACATTAACAGCAAGTGAGCGATCGCTGGCTCTGATTAGATTCTGAGGGTTAGCGTTTGGGGACAAGGCCACCGATATGTCTCAGGCCATTTGTTTGCACCCCGGGACGAGTGAGAAGTCAATCTACTCTCTGATTCTGCTGATTTCCACGATGATAGGATGACACTTCCATCAATTGTTGGGCTCTGACCTTACCAGCGTTCAGTTGTTGTCACAGACTCATGCATGACCGAGTGTCATCCATCTTCTTTATTACTCGTGGTATTGCTTAATTAACGCCACAGCATGATTGAATGGTGAAGGTTCAAGTGAATAATTTAAGGGCAACTGGTATTACTGGAGAGTGTCATGTTATTCTTTATAGGAAGTGAAGCTCCCTAAAGTACTTGAGTTGTTCTTCTGCAGGGAGGCAGGCGGAGGTATTCTGTAACAGTCAAATACACACCACGCGCAACACCTATCCTATTCCCTACTGTTAACACGGTGACCTTTTGGTGGTAATTAGTTTTACGTCCAATGTGACTGTATTTCTGACACTACACATACCTTGAGGCTTCTCACACATCTTATAAGACAAGCTATAAGACTAGAGCCACATAGGGAGTACAATACAAATGCTACACCTGAAAGGTCAAAAGTCAACATATCATAAGAGTGTCAAAGCTTTCTAATGTCACACTATTTTAAATGCATCTTACTTCCGGTAATCGGTTAATAGCCTGTTGAAACCGAAACAGGGTGGAAACACTTGAGTTTTAAATATCGCTGTGAGAATTAGAGCATTTAAGAAACATGTTTTTGATTAAATCATGGAGGGTAGGGATTGATAAGATTTGTGATTTTTTCCAGAGAGTGTCTGGAGATGCAGAGTTGAAAGGGGGAGATAGAGAGGATGATTTTGCCTGAAGTGTTTCGGTAGGCTCAGTAGTCAAACCCACTTACTTGGCAGCTATAACCTCCAGCTATAACCACTCTAATCCGGCAGCTCTTTTGGGGACTTTTTGATTCAGTTAGGACATGTTTGACACGATATTGTTGAGCTTTGTTTTTTCTTGTTGTCAAAAAACAATGACAAGACCAAAACAAATGATAAACAAGGTTTTTTTGGTCCACTGTTAACACTTAATCTTTTCCATAGAGGTTGATTGATGTCCCAAAACTATTAAAACACATCCATAATCCTTACTTTTTGTACTGGGTGACATGATTTTTCATAATAAAGAACATGCACCCTTTTCTAAATATCTACAGGCCTCAAAATGTGTACTAATCGTCCGAAAAATAGTGCCAATAAATGCACTATTGACTTGTGTCTGTGTAATGTTACAACAAAAAACTACAGTGTCCAGCTGTGTTAGGAAGTTATTGAATCTCACATATGTAAATCGTTTTTAACACAGGGTGTCCGCAGGGTCTTAAAAAGTATTAAAAGTTGATAAATCAATTTAGTGAAAATTAAGGCTATTAAAAAGTATTAAACAGCATTTTCCAAGGTATTAAATGTTGTAGCTTGTTTTCAATAAGTATATAAATGGCCCAAAGAGGTTGTATTCTACAGTCTGCCTGAATGTAATCATTGCGTAGGTGTGTAGTGTGATTCTGTGTAGTTTATTGATGGCATCCCGTTGGATGTAACGTCATCTGAACAGGACATCGCACGCTCACTGCTTGATAGCGCGCGAAGGTCCGTTTACGCCGGTTGCTAAGCAACATCGTTATGGGGAAATGCAAGTCTGCGTCCAAATGGTTGGAAGATAAGGAGGAAGGACAATCAATACTGTATATAGTCAATGTGAGGTAAAGTGTGTCTCCAAGGTTCGGTTAAAACTCAAAGTGGCGATGAGGTCTTAAAATGTATGGAAAGGGTCTTAAAAAAGGTCTTAAAAGGAATTACATTTGACTTCAGGTTTCCTGCTTATTTAACACACATTTAACCCATTTTTTTTACAATGACCAGTGGGATACAGGGCATGGAAACTCAAAAGTGTTTTGAGATTGAATAACACATTGGTGGTTTTGGCAACGAATTTGTTAACATAAAAAAAAAGTAAAGAAAGAATATCATATTATGAGATTCATGATTTAAGTAAATAATATTCCTATTCATCAAGTTTTATTTAGTTGTAAATCTAATTAATATGGGACATTTTGGGAATTTAAATATAGATTAGAAAAAACATTTAAATTGACTTTATGTCTGGATAAAAATCTGTAGTTGCTTTTTTTTAGATCTCTAAATACACACATTTAGATATTACTAAGGAATTCCCTTCCTGATTTAGCAAAAGATTGAAAAAGAGTAGTAAAACATTGTAAACCGTTGTATAGGAATAGGAAAGAAGTTGTTAATAATAGAGAAAGGCAGTGAGGGATTTCTTCCCTTTATGCAGGAGATATTTCTCTCACCTTCTATAAACAAGGTTTGATCCAAAATGTCCGACTCGAGCAGCACTCCAACAGATTTGTACTCTGACCCAGGATTACATTTGATGCGGCAGACTGTACGGCTTCAACAGTCGTCTGTGTTTCTGTACAAATTGTACGGAAATTGGAGGTGACACACTGATAAATGCTGCACACATCCAATATATAGTGGACTATTAGATCTAGCAATAAAGTGCAGCAGATATGAGGACTCAAAAGTAACCTTTTGGGGATCATGCAATTCTACGGAAACCCATAAGGGACATGTAGGGAAAAACAATAGAAGGTAAAAAAAATGAAAAGGATTAACTTCTTTCATACTGTACATAATGCTAAAATAATCGTATTTTTTTTCATTTATATATAAATGTTGCTAATAATTGACATATCCTACACTGTAAAATGTCTCACACATTTTTGATCCACTTATGGAAGCTTGGGGTAGTAATACGAAAACTACAAGTTCTTAAAATGTAAATTTAAAATGTTTTTTGAGGAATAGCTGGAATACAAAATGATAAAAAAATATAATTACAAAGATACTTCAAGAAAACCACCTCACCGGGTCAAAAAAGACCCACTTAAGCATCTAAGGGTTACAAATATATAATTAAATTACAGAAACAATTATACTCAGTTAAAAACTAAAAACTAACATTTCCAACAACACTAAAAACATCACATTTATCTTTTTTTTTATAAACAAAACTAATATTCATACTGTAATGCTTTCATATTCACAATCTTGATACATCTAACTGGAAGGCAGATGTAACAATTTCATGGTAATAGAAATATGTTTCTTAGATATTCCCTAGCTTCTTACTAATAATGTTACTAATAATTCACATATCATAAATTGCAAAAACAATTCCTCTACCATATATATGTACTAGGGCTGTCAGTCGATTAAAATAGTTAATCGCAAATTAATGGCACATTTTTT